AGAGAGAGAGAGAGAGAGAGAGAGAGAGAGAGAGAGAAAGCTTTAAGCTCTAAAATATTAATTTAAGACTAACTACAACATAGTGGAAAAAACAACACCTCTACAACACAGGGAAAGAAAAAACAATCAACACCTCCCCAATGAACTACTAGCTAGCTACACACAGGAGGGAGCCCACATAGGTAATACCACACTGCATTAGCACTAGAAAAAACATGAAACTTTCCCAGATCCCAAGTCAGGAACAAAGGCTGAAACACAGGTTAATCAGCTGGGCTTTCTTGTTAGATAAGACACAGTATCTCACACACCAGACACTCCATGTTGATAAGAATCCTTGACCTCTTCTACCTCAGTTAATCCTTATATAACCCTTATTATTGCTGTTAAGAAACCATTATCACCACTTTTAAAAAGCCTTCATGTCATCAGACTTTCAGAAAGTCTATGCCCTGAAGCAGAAACTAAACTCAAAATCTGTGACGGCTAGGAATGTACTATAAAGCAAACCTATAATAAGCATGGGAAGGAAAATAGTTAAGAGATTTAAATATATATTTTTGTTAAATGTATTTTCTACATTTGAAGAGAATGGAATTTTCTTTAAAGACACTAATGTTTGAAGTTGAAGACATGTTTATGGATTACCTGTGATGGTGCAAAACCAGACATGTGAAAAGCTGAACACACCAGGGGTACCTCAGCCTTCAGTAACATTTCAACATAGTGAGTGCTGCAAAAATATATTGGATGGATGCCAGATTCTATGGTGTCAATAGGTAGATACTTCTGCATAAAAAGAGAAATTGAGAATATAAATAATTTAAGATATTCAAATATACACTTAAGTAAATCTTTTTCTTTTGCATGAATTGCTTTCAAAATTTATGTGGTGATATAACAAGTTATTTCAGTGATTTTAATAGTGTGAGTTAAAAAGTCAGAATTTTAAACATTCAGAAAGAATAAATCTCAATAAAGGCAGGGTTATATACCTTTCTAAGATTCAGGAATAAAATTAAAACTTTGTAACTTTGGTAACTTTAATCCTTGTGGAAAAATGAGGATGGGTGTTGAAATAATAAGTGAACATATGTGGGAGTAAATTGTAATAAAATACATGCTAATAAGAAGTGTATTTTGGTATGTTTAAAACTTTTGGCTTTTGTCCAATGATTTTATACAAAAAAGTTGTAGTCAGCTCTTGGGATGTCCAATAGACGTACCCTTTTAGTAGTTGATAGTAATCCAAAGCTGGGCTTGAATTAATAATAACCCAAATTTGGAACTCATTATAATAAGTTCACCTCTCAGGAGAATGCAAAGTGTATCCAAAGTTCTTGGGTAACCATTTTGAAAACAACTTTCATTTTATAATTATGTGTATACTTATATGTTACATATGCATATTAACATACACAGACACATTTTTAGAATGTGCATTTTTCATCAATATCTTCTTAAAGTTGGTTATTTTTTAATTTAGTTCTTAGATATAATTCATCATTGTAAACAATCAATAATGTTTTATTTACTGTTATTATAAATCCAACATCTACTCACAATAATAATTTAGCAAAGAGTATTAAACTTGAAGATATAATTTGGTGTCAATAAAATCTACCCAGACAACAAATTAAATGAATAAAAAGTTGGATACTCAAATTCGATTTGAAGACTTTACATTAAGAGAATGTCAAAAACATATTTTATTTTCTTACCCTTAATGGACAACTCTTGCTTATAAATAGTTTTGATAAATGAAATCTAACATTTTAAATTAAAACAAATCAAATTCATATGTTATATAATAGTTAAAAGTATGGAGGGTTTTTTTTTTCCCTAACTTTATTGGTAAGGTGCTTTTAGGATTTGGTTGGAATTATATACTAAAGTTTCTGAAGTCACCAAGTTGACTTATTAGTGGTTTTCCTATTGTGTCATTTATCATCATAAATCATGATGAATTATTTTATATTTCATAAATATATATTTGTAGAAATATATGCTGTATATATAAAAATTAAATATTCTTAGGATAGGTTCTCTAGGATATACCACACATATAAAAAATGAATAAATAAATAAATAGCACATTCAATTGACCTATTAATACAGAAGTCTAGGACAAAGGTAAACTTTCTTGAGTAGTTAAAAAAAATATGGACTGAGTAAAAATATCAGTTGATTTAGTCTTGAAATCCACAATGTGTTTTGCTAATGACTATATGTAGAATGAATAAATCTAATAAAATACAAAAGCAAAAATCAATGTACATCTTTATAAATTTTCAATGTGCACTTAAATAATTTCCTGAATGCATATACAATAGTAGTACAAAATTTTATACATAGAAAATTATTCATATACAGTATCTTTTCTATGTTGCAATGGAAATAACTTCAGAGCAGATCCATTAGGAGATAGAAAACAGACATTAATTACATTCTCAAAGAAAACAAGTCATTATATGTAATGGATTCCCAAAGATAAGGCAAGAGTTCTTCTATCCTTATAAGTTGTTCTCAGAAGAAATTATGTCACGTTTTGATAACCAACACAGCTCCTAACATCAAACCTCGCATAGAGCAGCTGAATTCAGTATCAACTGAATGACAAGTAAAGATACTAATAACTGCAAATATCAGAGAACTCATAATAAAAATTTATTAGTTGGTCTATTAATTACCATCTCAATTTATAATAAATGGTGTTCATAAAATCAGATAAAAAAATGACAGCTCTAAGTCATATAAATATAACCTCGAATTTTCTGAGTCATTAAATTATAAATTACTTACCTATAATTTCAAAATTTTATGTATTTCGTTTGTTCACAATATCCTGAATAGTAACTTTTATTATTCAGAATATAGGACTAAACACAGCACCAACAGGAAACAGCATTTTATATATCATGTAAATAAAATAAAATAATAATATAAAATACTAAAATAAAACCTCAAAAACTTATCAGTAAAACAGTAGCTTAGAAGATACTAGAAAGTAACATAATATGAAGTAAAGAGTTAATAAAACAAGTTTAGTGATTAATAATGAAAGACATATACTTAAAAATGAAACACAAAAATCAGTTTTTAATTCCAGTATATCTAGTTCTAATAAGTCATGTTTTCCTGACACATTAAGAAATATCTACTTCCTATGTTGCTATGGAAGTTAAATAAAAAGATCCTATTAGAGCTAAAATTCTTCAATCCAACACACACTGATCCAATCCAGTCATCCATCCTTGGGAATCTAAGGGCAGCGGATGGGTCATTCTTTATAAACACAATAAACTGGCTCATTGTAGTTAATTCATAATCACGTGAAGGATAAATAGAAAAGTTTGAATATTTTTCCAAAATTTCAGTCCAGTAATTCTAGAAAATATGAATCTTTGTCCTCTTCTCTAGAAAAATATAATTTTCAAATATGAATAAGATTTAAAGTTACATATAAGAAAAGGTTTTGGGAATTATTTAGATTACACAGAAATATGTATATGTAGATGTTTATATATGTATGTAATAAAAAATAAATATTTTCATTTAACTCCACATAGCCCTTAGCTTATTAACCTTGGCTGCCAAGTGATTTCCTTGTTCATAAACATGTCATGGAAAAGATTAGGGAAGCCTTAGTTTAGCTGATGTAGTAGGCAGCATCCCCCAGGTGCACATCATCACAATATTAAATAAATAAATGAAATAAACAGAAGCAGTAGTAAATTAACTAAGGAAAAGACTTTACAGTAATCTGAGTCCTCATAAGAATAGTAAATTCTTTCAAAACATACTACAGTACTTCAATAAAAACTCAGTATGGATTTCCAAAATGTACATAAAATGGTTCTTTACCTCTATAAAGTATTTGTAATATCTACATAATAAATTATTTTCTCATACTGTAATTTAACTATCATGAGCCTTTAAATAAAAATATCCATTCAATACTTTTCTGGTATCTAGAATATGAGTAATATAATTTATTAAACAATAAGTTTATAATAACTAAATATTATTTGATTTAAACATATATTTTATTATCTTTTTTCTATTCCATGAAAGTGCATCTATTATCATTGCTTTCATTCATTTACCATTAGATAAAACATCAAATATTTGAGAACATATCAAATCTTTATCTTCAATCAGTCAAAGCATTCAAGTAGGAAAATGAATATAAATTATAAGAGCCCTTTACAAATAAAACATTCCAGTACTTTAAAATATGATGTTTCTTAAAATATCAAACTGTCCTTTAAAAATAGGGCAGCCCTTAGTAAAAGAGCTCAGGAACAGAGGCACATGACTATAATTCTAACTACTATGGAGGCTGAGGCAGGAAGATGGCAAGTTGGCAACCAGCCTGAGAAACTTGGCAACCAGCCTGGGCAACTTAGCAAGACTCTGTCTCAAAATAAAAAATTTAAAAAGGGCTGAGAATGTAGCTCAGTAGTACAACACTTGCCTAGCATGCTTAAGACCCTGGGTTCAATTCTCAGTACCACAAAGCATAAACAAACAAAACAATACAAATGAAAATTAAAGTCTTACAGAAATATGTAGTCTTGGCAACCAAAGGAAAGCAGAGGTCAGAAGCTTGGAGAACTGCTGAAGAAATTGTAATGTTTTCTCTTTATCCCCCAACATTATCATGAACAGAGAAGATACAAACCAATCATGGCCAGCATAATTGCCTTGCAGGCAGACTAGAGAACATAGTTAAGGAACTATTGCAATATCTCACAAGATGAAATTTACGACGACATAAATATTCATTTCCTGGATCTCTATTAGGAAAGAGATGCTAATGATATGCAGTACTCATTTATAGGCTATTTAAATAAAATTAATTTATTAATCACTTGCATAATCACTATTTCAGTATATCATCTGCTTGGAGGTAAAATAAATGGCTTTGTGAAAATTCACTTGTTCTTCTTGAAGAGTATCACCCTTGGGCTGGGGACATTGTTTAGTTGGTTGAGTGCTTGCCTATTATGCACAAAACCCTGGGTTCAATCCCCAGCAACACACACACACACACACACACACACACACACACACACAGAGTATCATCCTGTCTGTAGTTATCCGCACAATGACTAGCATAACCAAATAGAATATCCTATTAAAATGTAATCTATAGATTTCTATAATTCAGTAATGCAAATAGTTTGTATATTTTTCTTCAAGTCAAACTCCATTTCTGAACAATCACAAATTCAAATGAAGCAATAAATGGATATAGTTACAAAAAAGCAGCAACCTTTCTCATTCTGTATCTAAGAAACCTATTTTTAAAATGTTTTTAAATGACTCTGAAAATGCATCCTAATGACTATTCAGTTTAAGATTCAATGAGTGTGCCTGAATATAATGATTACGATTCAGTATAATAAAATGAATGTTTCAAATACAGATATATCATATGAGTCACTAGTATAGCTTAAAGAATTATTTTACCATAAATGTATTAAGGTAGTCCATCAAATAACATAAAAAGTATATGAAGAAAGTTCAACTATTGTGAATTCACTAGAAAAGGATATGAAGAGAAGATTTTACAGGAGCTTGCTGCTGTTTCAGGAATCTCTCACAGTGCTTTAAAACCAAGGCAAGATCATTTTCTGCACCATCTTTTAATAAATTGAGGAACTTACCATACCTACATTAAAAACCCATAAAAGTATAAAATTAAAAAATATCAGACTCTGTGTTGTACATTTATTTTTTGATACCCATCTAAGTGTATTCCCCTTGAGATTTCAAGGGGTTAAGATTTCAAAATTCTACTTTTAGCCTAAAAATACTACAGAACACTTAAGACCAGCTCTCATATATGTTCCTGATACTTATGATATACTTGAAAAAAGCAGTATAAACTTGGTATACTGATAACTTATAGGAAGATGAAACTGTAATAAGAACATAAAGTGATGATTCCCTGTCAATGAGAAGTAGAATACAGACATTTTTTTTTCTTGAATTTAATCTAAGACAAGAAATACTGACAGGTTAGTTTTATAGAATGTTAAATCTACAAATAAATCTGAAGGTCATTTTGTCCAATGGCCCCAAATGGAGGTGTACTTCTACCAGGGATCACTTTGGACATTTATAGGGGTATTTTTTAATTGAAAACTGAGAGAGGTTTAACTAGTCTTCAGTGAGCAAGTTCCAGGAGGTTAGACTTGCAACAGTTATGCATAACAAGTTGTCCATATCCTAGGATTTGTAAGAATATAAAAGCTGTCTATAATTATCTGAAACTAATACTGTTTTATATAAACACCTCTATTTTAAATACACGTTAATTTAACTGTGTTAACCAAGGAAAAATAGTACAAGTGCTTTGTGTGAAAACTTAATATGACTTGCTTATCACTATGGGCAGTGTCTTTGCTAATGGCAACACTTTTTATGGTTTTAGGCACCAAAACATAATCAGTCTGTATTTGTTACACCACTGTCTCAATGATTCTATGTGTAGATGCTGGCTATATCTTATATAGTAGTATAATCAAACAAGCATTATAATTCCCTTTCCATTTATATCCTACAAATAAGATAAAGTTAAAATAATGTGACTATTTTGCTTATATTATCTACAGATTCCATTTCAGAATAGAAATACAGCACTACAAAATATTTATAAAACAAGTGGGCACAGAGTCACATAACAATCAAGAGTGTTACATGCCCTATGTTTTACAGTTGAATGAACTAGAATTAATGCCATCATTTTCATCAAACTGTGAATTTAGAAAACACTCAGCCTAGTTAATAGCTCTCACATATGCCTTGTATTTGATTTTGAAGATGACCCTATAATTAAAATGGGATTGTTAAAATCCTCATTTAATAAGCAATAAAAGGAAGTATCAGTGACTCAGTCGCTAAAACCAAATTCATGATCTAGCATGCCATTTCTTTTGAAAATTACAATTTGAACACTAAAACTACAATTTTGGTTATTCATTTTAACTTCTCTATCCTGAAGGTACTTTTGTACTCATCACCATAGCTTTACAATTACAACTAATCATATTTTAGAAAATGGTATGATTATGCTACTAATGTGCTGATTTTTACAATGCTATTTTTTGGGAAAAGCTGATAGTCATAGAGGCTTAAACACACTGTAATTAGCCTCTGGAATAAAAATGTACTGTAACTGACTTACAGGAAGAGGTAATTTAATCATGTGCCAATAGCATCAAAGATAAAGTTATTATTTCCTGGATAACTCCACACTTAAAGTATACGAAATAGCTAGTTGTTAAATATCATTAAACACATATCAGGCAGATGAATTCTAGGGATGCACAAGGAAGATATTTTCCTATATACCTGACAGTCATTGTAATACCAAGCTGCTGCACAGATGAAAGACTTTCATTCTTCACATTTGCATCAGTAGCTAAAAACAATAGAAAACTGAGTTATAAAAATGTATAAAATTATGCATAATAATATTTTAATTGAAAATTGATGAAAGCAATATTTTTACATATTTTAATATGAATTTTGAAAACACTGATGAATTTATTCTTTTAAGCGCTGTTATCTTTACAAAGGAATCATCATGAAACATTTTTACATAATTTTTCTCCTATAAAAAAAAAGCATTTAGGGGGGCTGGGATTGTGCCTTGGCAGTAGAGCACTCGCCTAGTGGGTTCAATCCTTAGCACACATAAAAATAAATAAATAAAAACAAAGGTATTATGTACAACTAAAAGAAATAAACATTAAAAAAACATTTAGGAGCATATTAAATATAAAATGACTAATAGTTTTAAAACGATCTATTTCACTTGGCTATAAACAAAAGGGCCAAACAAAAAAGCCATTAACCTAAAGATGATGTAGAAATATTATCTTTTCATTGTACAATACATATGTAAGATTTTGAACGATAAATATAAGCATTGTGTCTCATTCCCTCCTAATACTCGCATTTAAATCTTTCAGTAACCAGTGTTTCACTATGGGCAGTCTCTTTGCTAACGGCAACACTTTTTATGGTTTTAGGCACCAAAACATAATCAGTCTGTATTTGTTACCACCATTTTCTCAATGATTCTATGAGTAAAATGACAATGTATGAGAGTGAAGTGGCTTCTTTGGGCAGGCCAAATTTTCTTTTTGGAGAAGTTGTGACCAACTACCAAAAGTGAAAAAGGATGTGTCATATGGGGGACATCGAGAGGCCAAAAGTTTGGACTGGTTCTTGAAACCATTGGTGCCAAAGTTAACAGTGAACATTCAAAAGCATCACTAAATAGTATTCAGTATTTAACTGAAACAATTAAGGGAAACATTGAGTACCAGTTTTCTACAAAATGACAAATTTTGTGAAACTGGTGATTAGTTTCCTTCATTACTTACACATTGATATATCTCATACTACCAACAGAATCTATTTCGATTGTACATTTATTCCTTTAAATAAATTCTTTCTGATACAGTAAGTATGGAACACCATACAAGAATCTATGGGGGATAAAAGACAAATCATACATACTTTCCATGTAGTGTCATAGACAAACTGTATATAGAAATAAATATAATAAGGGCAATTAGATATTCTTATTTTTCCTTTAACTATTAATAGTTATAGTTGTAGACAATATTGAAAAGAAACATACAAGGAGGTCTCATGCACCCTTTACCCATACTCCCCCACCAATACTAACACCTTACATAACACTAAGGTACAGTATCAGTATTAGAAACCAGTTGTTATGATTTAGATGTGGAGTCCCCCCAAAACTCACAATGAGACAATGCAAGAAGGTTCAGAGGAGAAATGATTAGGTTGTAAGATTCTTAACCCAATCAGCAATTTAATACCCTGATAGAAATTAAACTGAGTGGTAACTGGAGTGGTGGGATGTGACTGGAGGAGGTGGGAACTGGGGCATGGCTTTGGGTACATATTTGTATCTGGTAAGTGGACTCTCTCTCTGCTTCCTGATCACCGTGATGTGAGCTGCTTCCTTCTGCCACCCTCTCCTACCATGATGTTCAGCCTCACCTTAAGCCCTGAGGAAGGGAGCCAACTTTCTGTGGACTAAGAGCTCTGAATCTGTGATCCCTCAAATAAACTTTCCTCCTCTACAGTTGTGCTGGTAGGATGATTTAGTCACGGCAACAAAAAAGCTGACTAAAACAGTGACAGTGGTATAATTCACAGAGTTTATTCATACTTTTAGAGTTACACATTCACTCGTGTATGTGTGTGTGCATGAGTGTATACTTTTAAGTAAATTTATTATACTTGTTATCTTTGTGTGACTATCACCACAAACAAGATATAGAACTGTACCATCACTCGAAGGCTCCTTTGTGCTACTCCTTAATGGCCATACCTCCTTTTCCCTACCATAACCCCTGGCAAATGATGATATCTAAAGATATTGAATATTTTTTCACATATTTGTTGGTCATTTGTACTTGTTTGATAAAGTGGTTTTAAAACCTTAAGTGGTAGAGGAATGACACAGATAAAGTGTTATGTGAACATTAAGATATTATTTCCAGCTTATTAGAAGGAAGGTATTTGAGTTAAACCTAAAAATATAGATAGACTGCTTTTATAGGAACCACTCACAGTTCCAGGGAAACCAGACTGGTAGGTGAATTTTCTTTTTTTACACAAAAATAAAACAAATAAAAATAAGCTCAAAAACTTCAACTAAAAAAAGGTGCCCAGTTAATTATACGATAAACTACATTCGAGTTTTATTTAGACTGGAATGCAATCTCAGCAGTACTGTCACATTTTGTCTATATGACAGGAGTTGGGCTATTTACATAACTTAGAATATCTTGTTATTTTTATTTCTCACTGTGCTAACAACAGATGAACCTACTTTTCTAAGGGAGGATACCAGTTCTGCCCTTATCCTAGTAAAAGATCCTAATCCTATAGCAACAGAGTAAAGCATGGAGGGCTATTTAATGTCTTCTAAAAATGTTTCTAACTGGAGTGAGCTCAGAAAATTTTCTCCATATTAATTATGGCCTATGAGGTTCCCTAGAACTCCAGAAGAAAGCAATTAATCATTCATATAGGGAGAGAGAAGAAAGAAGATTGTTAAACTTGGCTTTATTCCATTTATATGAATTAATTATTCCGCTTCTTTTCCTGCATAGTTTAAAAAAGAAAACAAAAACAAAAAAAGGCTTTTCTGAGTTTCCATTCCTTGGTGTCAAATATATATATTAGTATATCATATACTATTCTTATTCTCAGAGTGATTTGGTCATTTTTCAAAATTATTAATCATTATTCATATATTAACCATAATCTCAAATTTTCAGTCTTAACACAATAGCATTTTAAAACTTCAGCCATAAATTAAACACAGTTTCATCAATACCACTACAATGTAATAAGATTTAAGTTCATGTGGGTATGAACAAGGAGTTCTTTTAGTTTTCACACCTGAACCTGCTCCTGGTGATTCTGTATATTAGGCCATATCAAACTTTAGCTTTCCAGGTTTAACTAATGTAAAATTTTAGTACTCTATTATTGGCGACACTGGTTGATTTTGCAAAAATTAAATAGTTTTAAGAATAAAACTTGTGACTAAATGTTCTTATAGCCATGGAATAGACATCCTATCAATTACCATAATATGATACAGTGAGAACAATGTGATTTCTATAGGGTATTTCCAGAACATGTTTAAGTTGGATTAGATAATAATATTAGAAGTCTAGTACATATAAAATTATGTTATTAAGCATAAGAAATAAAACCTCACTATATATATATATATATGTATATAGGCTTGTAATAATACTGATGTTTCTCTCTGAAAAGCATAATACACATAGATATATGAACAGCAGAGGAAGGATGTCCGCTGGGTGGAGAAGGGTGCCAAAAAAGGGATTCCCAGTGTCAAGTGTTCTGTGGATCACAGTGGCATGCATCAGAGGACACTGACTTCCATATTAGTGAAGAATGGGGTAAAGTTAAGGAACAAGAGATGTTTCCCAAAGGGACTGTGCCACTGAAACTTACATAAGGATCAGGTTCTTACACTTTTTTCAGGGTAATCTAGTTGTGAGGCCTGAGATAAGTTCTTTCACTTTTCTAGAGTTGTATAAATAATTTCCAAGTACTATTCCACTTCAAAGTTTATGATTTTATCTTTAGAAGAAAAGCAGCTCTGTACATTCAAATAGATCATAATTCTTAATTATAACTGTGCATCAAAATGTCCTGAGGAATGTTTTAAAGGTAAAAATAAACATAATGTACTCTAGATTACTGAATCAGATTGCAAAGGGTGAAAATCCTGTAATTTGTATTTTTAAAGGCCTCTATAGCTGTAATTTGTGCACTAAAGTTGAGATCCACACTTAGAAGAACAAGAGTGAAACTTAGATACAGTTACAACTGGACAGTGACACCCAACTAGATAAATTTCACTTTAACAAAAGTTCCACCTACATTCTCAAAAAATGGCTGTGTGTGTGTGTGTTTGTGTGTGTGTGTGTGTGTGTGTGTGTGTGTATGTATGTATGTATATATGTATAGTCTGGGGACTGAATACAGGGCCTCGAGCATGCTAAGCACACACACATTTATCCCATTTTGCAAGTTCTCTCTTTGTATTGTTTATGAACATAGGCCATAAATGTTTAACAAATAAAGATAAGCTCATAAATAATTTTACATCTATTTGTTAAACCTCATAGGCCATAAATGTTTAACATTCTATTAGTGAGCTTCAACTCCAACCTTCAAAAGGGCTTCTAATTGAAGAAATAAATTAAAGTTAAAGGATACCAAAACAAACATCTAATATCCATATTTTAAAAATCACTAGTGATAAACAGATGTAAATAACTTCAGTATGAATAAAATGCTACAGAAATGGAAAAAATAAAGTTTCCTAAATAAGAAAAAAGGAAAATAAATAAAGACTTAAAGGTACATATTAAAGGAGATACTTCAAGTTTTAAATTGTGTTCAATATACATTATGATAACTTATCAACCAATATTGGATTACAAAAGTTCAGTGAAAGGAATTTATTATATATAAACTGGATGAAATGCAATGTATAGAGGAGGAGTTAACATCTTCAGAAGTAAAACAAAACTTAAAATGAATAAGTAAAAGTCAATGATAAAATATGGATATTTTCTAAAAATTCTGACAAATACCTATGTTTGGCAACCAATAATTTACTGATGTATGTACAATAGTGTGTGGGATACACAATAGGTACTTAATAGACACTGAGTAGATGAATGAACAAATGTCCCATGAAGCAACAAAAGAAACTATACTTTCATTATGAAATCAGAAGAAAGGTAGAGGACAAAACAAAAAATATTTCCTGAAGTAACAAATAGAAGAAATAACTCTCGCTCCTTAAAGTCATTTTGAAAA